GGTCCTCTAACAGGATCGATGACGTCACTAACCCTGGGTAGTTGGCTAGTTTTCCGGTATCAGGCACGAGTTCCTCTTGTCGAGCAGGTCTTAAGTCTGATTAAAGTGGTTACCACTATGGTATGTATTCCACTATTGCCCCTTTAGGGTTATTGGGCCATGCCAGTTGCTGTTGTGGTTCAGAGGGGTCATAGCTGGATAGGACTGTTGGTTGCTTTCTCCTTTGGAAGCTTCCATAATGCCGTCTGCTACCATGAAAGCTTGTCTTCAGGGAGGAGGGTTTCAGGTCAATTCGAGCTAAGAGGCGTCTAGACCTGAGTCTGACGTGTATGGTATCCTCACTTGGGACATAATCTTGCACTATGGCTCAGGCTCTCCGAAATTCCCTCTGTAGGCTTTGAACTAGCAGAAATCTCCCCACCTCAGCCTTTCAAGTGCTGGGGTTATCGGTGTGCATTTCCAGTGTGTCAACTTGACACAAACTAGAGATACCTCAGAAAAGGGAACCTTAATGCAGAAACTGCCTTTAGCATATTGGCTTGTAAAAATATCTGTGGAGTATTTCCACAACTATTAATTGGTGAAGGAGAGCCCAGCCCACTATTGTCTGTACCATCCCTAGGTCCTGGTTTGTATAAGAAAGGTAGCTGAGCAAGACATGGATGATAAGCCAGGAATCACTCTTCCCTATGGACTCTGCTTCGGTTCCTGCCTCTTCCTATCTTGTAGGGGCTCTAGCTTCTCCCAAGATCCCTGGCTTCCCTTGAAATCTGGAAGCCAAATTAGTCTTCTTTGTTTTAGTCAGGTTTCTGTCACAGAAACAGAAACCAAACTAGAACAGGTGCATGTCTTAAAAAGCTGTGTCTTTAGCTGGGTGGTGCACACCTGCAATCCCAGCACTTGGGGAGAGGCAGGCGAATCTCAGTGAATTCAAGGTCAGTCTGGTTTACAAAGTGAGTCCCAGGATAGCCAGAACTGTTACACAGAGAAACTCTATCTTGAAAAGCGAAAATAAAATAAAATAAAATAAAAAAATATATTTTTAATTGGCACAAAAATTATGCTTATTTATTGTGCGCCATATGGTATTTCAGCAGGTATTGACATGTTTGACTCTAAGTAGGTGTTTCTCCTTAGAGATTGATCCATTCTTTGTGGGAAAACATTTTTCTTCTAACTGTTCTGAAATACATCGTACATTGTTGTTACCTATAGTTCCCCTCTGAGCCACAGCACACAGAACACATTTCTTCGATCTACTGTGGTGCCCACAGACTTGGCTACCCTCTCTCCCCAATGCTCCCCAGCCTCAAGAGACTACCACTCAAACTCAAGGACATTGGCAGAAGAGTAAGGTCATTCAGTATCTGCCTGTGCCTGTCTTATTTTACGTAACACCTTGTTTCCTTCAGTTCTGTTGAATGGAAGATTGTAAATGGGTATGAGGGCATATACCTGGAATTTCAGCACTTGGGAAATGGAGACAGGAGCTTCAGGGTTGCAAGCTCGGCTTCAACTACATAGAGAGTTCAAGGCCAATCTGAGCTAGGTGAAACTTTATCTTAATTTAAGAATAAAAATATAGCCAGGCAGTGGTGGCTCACGCCTTTAATCCTAGCACTTGGGAGGCAGGGCAGGTGAACTGTGAGTTCGAGGTCCACCTGGTCTACAGAGCAAGTTTCAGGACGGGTTCCTAAAAAGAGAAACAAACAAACAAACAAACAAAAACACAAACAAACAAACAAAAATGAAGAGTATAGACACATACATACATATGCACAGACAGGCTCCTTTTTCATTGCTGGATTGGGAATAGACTGGCCAGTCAACAGTAGAAACCAGACAATTTGAGGGTTGTGAAGAAGCACCCAGCTTGGGGGTGCGGGCGTGTGGGGATCAGTGTGCTGTGTAGTGGAAGAAGGGAAGAAGATGAATTCAGCATTCATTCTGGAGTCAAGAAGAACTTCTGCTTGCATGGTGACATTTGAGAGATTCTAGATGGGCCTGGACTGGAACCAGAGAGAGGCCCTCTAAAACGACCTGTGGTACTCCAGTCTTGTCCTGAGGACTTTGGGCAGGAGTGAGATTAGAATGGATTGTCAAATCCCGTCTGCCTACACGGCCAGCCCAAGGTGCATATTCTTGTTTCTGTGCCTGGGAGAGCATTGGTTACTCTCTGGCTAGATGTTTTGACTTTTCCCAGTTCCAAAAGGAAATAGGAGCCGGGCGTTGGTGGCGCACGCCTTTAATCCCAGCACTCGGGAGGCAGAGGCAGGCGGATCTCTGTGAGTTCGAGACCAGCCTGGTCTACAGAGCGAGTTCCAGGACAGGCTCCAAAACCACAGAGAAACCCTGTCTCGAAAAACCAAAAAAAAAAAAAAAAAAAAAAAAAAAAAAAAAAAAAAAGAAACAAAAAGAAATAGGAAAAGGAAAAGGCCGGTGTGTGGAAAGTCCCCTGGAGTTTATGGAGAGCACTGGAGAGCGCTGGTGGAGAGTGTGGCTTTTGTTGCCACCGGTTTTGTTCCACAGCCCTGTCCTACTTAAATTGTGACTCAGGGTTTGGCCCGTGCCTTGCCGTTGGGATCCCTGCAGTCAGTCTTGAGCTTTTAAAGAGACCAACCACTCCTGCCTTTAGAGAAGCCCCTGAGGCTGAGGCCAGACTTCCTTACCTAGCCTGACTGGTACCTGGAGGACATAGCCCAAGGGCACCCAGGCTTCCTCCAGCTGCTGAATCTCCCTCAAGGGCTGCCTTCCCTTAGCCTTCTTGGGGTGGTCAGCTTTTCCAGAAGTGTGCACTGGGGTGAGGTTGGGGGGCCAGGAGGAGGCTGCAGGCCTTGATTGCTGTTGCCTGATCTGAGCTCTGTACGCGCTTAGCTGGCTGAGTCTGGCTTTGGCTTCTGTCCTTCCGGTAGGGGCCAAAGGCTATATTTCTTCCCTATCGCAACTCCAAACATTCCTTACGTGTTTGCTCTGTTACAAAGACATTCCCTGCATGCTTATTCCTTTAAAAAGGAAAACCAAAGATTTTTTTTTTTTCAACTAAAGTCTGTGAGTGCGAAGGAGAGAGATGTGTTTTAGTATTTGTGCCTTATGGATGTGTGGCGCCATGTGAGGGGGTTTTGAAGAGAGCATTTGAAACCTTCCTGACACCTATGACTTTGACAGCTCATTGATGGCACACACACACACACACACACACACACACACACACACACGAAAACTCTGGCTAGCAAACTCTAAAGCCCCTACTCTGCTCCCCAGCTGCCTCAGGGAGGGGCATCTTCCTGTGTCCCTGCTCGCTTCCCACCCTTCCCCTTGGAGCAAACTGCACCCTGAGGTCGCTCACTTAAAGGTTTTTAATGACTTCTTGCTGTTAGTTGGGTGCCTGCTCACACTGACTATTTATTGAACCCCTGAATGAATGGTTTATAACCCAGGCCACCCCAGTTGAACTTTGGAGGCCAAGTACTTTTGTCCTGAGGATGTCCTTGGCTGAGGTCACAGCAGAAGCGGCCAGACAGTGTAGGTTTGAACCATTAGGAAGTTTTGGAATGATGGGATTCTTCCCGAAGATTTATCTCTGTGCATACTTCCGAGTTTCACTTCTCACAATTGCACAAGAAGTAGCCAGTCTGGGACTTGGGGGCTAAGACTCGGTCCTTTTTCCACTTCTGCAACAGGGGAACTCCTGGTTTCGCTTTATGACCCTGTTTAAGGGTCACCTCCTCCAGGAAGCATGCAGCCTCTCTTTAACCTTAGCAGCTTCTAAGTGCAACCCTTCCTAAGGCCTTAGTATGAGCTGCAGAAGCATCACGTCCCTGCAGGGCTTCAAGTCCACTCAGGAAAGCGAGCAGATTAGATACAGGTGTCCCAGGTGAGCCCGTAGTGTACGGCGCAATGGGAGACACTGACGGTGGAGCCTACTCCAGAAAGAGCAGCTGCCGACTGACTAGAACTCCTTCTACCTGCCCTTGCCAACCAAGAGGTCAAAGTAGAGCTTCTGCTTCTCAGGGCTGGGAGTTAGCACCGGGGTGCAGTGCTTGCTGAGAGTATGTGATGATTTGGGTTTACTCTTCAACAACCCCACCCCACCAAGGAAAACAATGAGATGGAAGGGGGCTTTAAAGTATGAGAACCTCTTGGGTTCAGCTGGGTGTGGTATACTGGGGAGGCAGAAGCAGGGAGCATGTGGGCACAGTCCACCACGAGGAGCATGTGGCATTTGCAGTCACGAAGCAGACAGGGCTAGTAAATACTGGTCCTCAGTGCACTGTCTCCATTTTACTCAGTTCAAGACTTCAGCCCATTGGTAGTCTTCCCAATCTCCCATCCAGTCTAGAGACTCCTTCATAGACTTTTTCAAAGGCCTGTCTCCTGGACGTTTCTCGATGTTGTCAAGGTGACGATCAACATTAACTGTCACACTAAATGAGCTACAACAAACCCCTCCTGATTTCAAGTATGTTCAACTGAGACTTTAAGGGAAATCATAGACCAAGCGAACAGCTGTTGTGGGCCAGAAGGTTTGCATCCTTTCAGACAATGGCTGTCCCCTTAGGTTGGCTGAGCCCCTTCTGATAGGCCATGATTCTACTGTCTGCACCCCCAGACCGCTTCAGCCAACAAGCTCCTGGTGGGTGCGCCCTACTTTGGGGACTGTGTACTTGAATGTTAACTCCCGTCCGGCACCTCTTGACGCAGAATTAACATGTCTTCCTTTAGAGTTATTTACCTGAGTGGGGCCACTCCTTCAGTTCCTTCCACACTTCCAGGCCAGGTAGAGATAGCCGGGAAGGCCACCACTTCCTACACTCTAGATAGCTCTGTTCATTTCTCTTCCATCACCACCTCCTCAACCCGTGCTGGGCTGTTTCTGCTGTGTGGGGTGTGGGTTGCTGTGAGTTTCCTGATGGCTCGGTGACCTTTCCCTTGCTGTCTGCTTAGCCACTGCGGATTTGACCTGCGGACCAGAATGATTTCATTTCTCTTCCCCCCGACAGGAAGAGATGACAGCAGGATCTCTTGAAGATGCAAACCAACCCCATGTCCTGAGGAAAACAGCCCTATGCCATTTTATGTGAGTTTTTATCATCTGTCATTTTATGGAGCTTTTTATCATCTTCCTGTGAGTTGTAAGAGGAAATTGGACAGGGAGACAGGAGGGAGCTTGACGCGCCTGCATCTGGAGGTATTTGAGATTGTCAGGGGGATAGTGAAGAGGAATCTGGACTGTTCCTGGAAGGTCTAGCCCTGGTCTTTAAGAAAGGTGGAGTGATAGAAAGGGTCAAGAGGAGGAAATTGTGTCATTAAGATAGTCACAAGTTGGGGGCTGCAGAGGTAGCTCAGCGGTTAAGAATGTTTGGCATGCTTGCAGAAGACCAAAGTTCTGTCTCCCAACACCTACATCTGGCAGATCAGAACTGCCAGTAACCCCACCTTCGGTGGCATCCAACACCTTCTGGCCTCTGTGCGCATAGCGCACATTCACACAGACACACAAGTACACGTGGTTTAAAAAGTAAAAATATATCTTAGCTAAGACAACAATAATCTGTTGTTAATTAGTATTGCTAACAACTTGAATACAAAGGCATGTAGATGTTAGCCATGTTTGCCAGCACTATTGCATTCTCACAAATGGTTGAGACTAGGGTCCCTACGCCGTGGTGGCAGTTTTCAATCTGAGCTGTTTGGGAGGTGAGGAAAGAAAATTTTGAGGCTAACCTCAGGTACAAAGTGAGCACAAGGCCACGTTGGGTATCATAGCAAAAGTCTGTTGTCTATTGTTCCCCCTCTTCACTCACTTCCCCTCTCTTCCTTTTGTTCCTTCTTCCTGTAGAGTACAATTCAATGGCTTTAGGTATACTCATTGCATAACCGTCCCTACTAAATATTACTATAGCCTTCTTCATTATCTGAAACTGAAGCTCTCTATCTATTAAGCACTTTCACTTCCCCACCAGCCCTGAAAACTGCTCTTCAGCTTTGTTTGAGTCCTTGACTCTGACTGCTCTCCTACGTCATCTCTGTGTCAATCACCATTTGTCCGTGACTGGCTTTGTTCACTTAGCGCAGTGTGCACCGTGCACCCTGTAGCGTGTACATCACATTGGTTCTTTGTGGAGACTGCCCAAGTATTTTGTGTGTATGTAGCACGCTTATTTGTTCAACTGTTGATGTGTGTTTAGGTTGCTTCTACCTTTCAAATATTGTGAATGATAGTGCCTTGAGCATGGATGTGTATACGAATTTTATGATCAACTATTAGGGGAATGATATTGTTTTTGATGATGATTACACCACGCTACATTCCCACCGCCAATACTCACGAGTTTATATTTTCCTTCCTGTCTCTATGCTTGGTACTTTTATTTATTCTTTCACTAATAGTCATCCTAATAAGTATAACCAGTGTCCTTTATCCATTTATAGTTTTGAGACTGGGCCTCACTATGTAGCCCAGGCTGGTCCCTGCCATTGCTGTCCTCCTACCCCATCATCCTGAGTGCTGAGATTATAGATGGAAACTGTAATCTCACTGTGGTTTTGATTTGTATTTTTCTAATGACCACTGAATGTCTTTTCCTGGCTCTGCTGGGTACCAGAAGAGCTTCTGAGAAACTTTTCTTGCTATTGTGGTTGTTGTTTTTTGGTGTCAGTTCCTTCCCAGATGCATGATTCTTGATAGTTCCATCCCATTTTGTGGGCTGTCCTTCCACTCTCTTGAGAGTATCCCACAGTGCAAAATCATTTCTGTCTTTTTTGTTTCTTTCTAGGGCATCGTACGTCCTAAACTGGCCTCAAATTTACTATGTAACCAAGGAAAAGCATGAACTTCTGATCCTCCTACCTCTACCTCTAAGTGCTGAGATAATAGGTACACGTCGTCATCCCTGGTTTCATATAGTACTGGGGATCAAACCCAGGGTTTTGAAAATACTAAATAGGCACATGAACTATATCTTCAGCCCTTCATTTCTAGTTTTGATAATCTTGCTTAATTTTGGTTGATTTTGATGTTAGGAACCTAGTTAAGGCTGTCTGTCTAACTTAGGGTGAGGGTCCAGATCTTGACCATTTAGCTGTGTTATCCTCTAAGGTTTTAGCCTCCTGTCTTTAATGTCAGATATTCTCACTAAACTAAGTACTATGTAGTTGTGCAGTCCAGGCTGGCCTTGAATTTAACTCTCCTGGCTTCAGCTGCTTCATTGTTGGTGTGGGCTACCAAACCTAGTTTGGCCTGTGTATCTTGTCCATCCTCCAAGCACCTCTTTACTGGATGCTCTTGGTCCATTTTGCATATTTACAGGAGGGATTCGATTTGAGCAGCTGTTACCCTGGACACTTACTCTGTGTGTGAAATTATCAGCCGAAGGCCTTTCCAGGGTTGTACTGGAGTTCTTGGATTCACAGATTCTCTAAGTTGGAAGGAATTTTTTTGGCTCAGGTGTTGGCCCTCATAGATAACCTACAGGAACACCCCTGGTGGGATGGTTTAGACTACAGTTCTTTGGTTGAGAGCCACAGAACCTCTCGTATTTTCCTTATTGCCTGTGTCTCAGTATCTACCACCAAACTGAAGATAATATTAGGTCCTTTTGGCTTTAGAGTGTTTTGTTTGTTTGTTTTTTTTTTTAAGATCTTGAAGTCACAGATCCGTGGGCCTCTGCCAACTGAGGGCTAGGATTAAAGGCCTGCACCACCGCACCCAGCTAGTTTTAGATTTAAATGTGTGGAGCCTACAAAGCCTTTAACTTCGAGACCAGCAGAGTAGTCTGCTACTGTCTCAAGGTCACTTTCAGATGCCATTTAAAGACACAGTAAAGACCCAAGGTTCACAGTAGGGCCAGGGGATCCTAGAGGCTTGGCCCTGGCAGTTTCTCCTCAAGGTAGGCTCAAGATGGCCTGCAGATTCCCAGTTCATCTAGACTCTGCTCTCTGCTGACCTGGATGGCATTTTTCCCTCCTCTGAGATTCTCCCATTTTAGGCAGGGATTTGGAGCTGTTAGTTGTCTCGCTCCCGCTCCCCACTCTCCAGGAAGATTACTTTGCTGAGCTCTGAGCTTGGCTCACTCCCCTCAGGATAACAGATCAATTGAGAAACAGATGTCTACTTGTGCCCTAATAGAGTTGCTTCAGGAATCCCTACCCTTTCCCCCATCCCCTTGATGGCCCTGCTCAGGTCCTGTGCTACCACCTGCCTGACATTCCACACTGGGGGCCCAAATTACCACCCACCTATCTTCCAGAGAGGGACCCAGTTTGTCCCCCGGGGAATTAATCATTTGGCTATTGCTTCAGGTCTGGAGCCTGGATTTCTTACACCTGGGGTCCTGCCTGGAGATCTGCATCTTCAGCCAGATGTCAGTAATTGCCCCCATGTGTTTAAGGCCAGAGAGCATCATGGGTGAGGCGCTGACTCCCGTTCACTCAGGCTTGCTCCGAGTGTTCCTAATATCCCTTCAAATTTCAGCTATAGTTACTTGTCTTTTACAGGCTCAGTTTGCCCGTCAGTAAAACTAGGAAATGAAGACGAGCCTTGCAGTGAGCTGCATGAGATTCCAAGCCCTTGGCACTTGTCTGTTGCCACCCAGAACTGAAATGTTCAATGAGCATTGACCATTGTCACCCTTCTTGTCTCCGCTGACTGGGTCCGTGCTGGTGGTAAAGAGAATTTACTTTATCTTTGTTGGATAAGGAAGTACATTCAAAACTTAATACCCTGCGAATCCCACTCTTTAACTTCCGGTTTCCCCTTCTTCGCCTGGGAGTCCAGTTCCAGGAAGTCGAGATTTGTGTGTAGAATGAGATCAAGCACTTTCTTCCCCTTTGACCTCTATGTCCTCACTATCAACTCTGGTCAGTCTTGGCTGTTGGAAGGTTCTGCTCTTAGCACTTCATTAAATCTGTAGGTCCATCCTTACAGCCATTAATCGGGTAGGTGTTGATTCCCGTTTCCCATTCTAAAGGCAGGGAAATGGAGGCAGGGCAGCTAGATAACATCCCAGCATGAGAAGCAAATCACCAGTGGTGCCAGAGCCCGCATTTGCAGCCAGCTGCCTCTTGTTAGAGCTTCTGTGTCTCCACCGGTGGTCTGCCCTTCCGCCTAAAGGCCATCTCTATCTCTGGGGCTCGAGTACTTAGTCGCCAGCACTGAAGACCTCTGGGCATCAGAGTCTTTATCAGGGCGCCTACGGCAGGTGTGCTGTGCAATCAAGGAGGCCTCTCTGAGGTGAGCTGAGACCTGGAGACTCAATTGGAAGGCTGCAGATCCTATCAGGCATCCTCTGGCAGCTCCTAGTGCCTGTTCTTCATTCTTGTGGAGAGACACAGGACGATCATAGTGCAAAGGGCAGAGCTTGTTTGGGATTTGGGACTGTTGGCCTTTCATAGAGGTTTCGGTGGCTCCAATGGATTCTGCTCTCCTCCTTTTCAGATTCCGGCGCATGGGTCTACCTTTAGAAGGGAAGTGCAGGTGAACCACTCATACCCAACTTTGTCCTGGTCCGAAATGACAAACAGATGCCTTTTTGCTGGTTGGGCCTTTAGGTAGAGGGAATGGATTGGCGGGAGACTCATTCCAGTAACTACATTCCAGTGTAGGCCATGCACAAGGGAAACTTCTATGCAATACTTCTGATAGTAAAATTACATCCTTCTGTCCCCACATACGCAGTAGAGTTTTTGTGGAAAGTTGCTTACAAGCGCAAAGCCTGGAACAAATCCCATTAAGAAGAGTTTGTAATCTTGGTCTAGAAATCCCACAGCCCTAGCTCCCTAGGACCCGAGCCTACGACTAAGACCAAATTGTGACCAACCAGGACAGTACAGGGTTGCATGGACCTTATTTACATGACAGGGCTTCACACTAACCTCGCAGAACTGCACCCTGGTGAATTTTCGGTACTCCGGTCATTGTCCAGTGCCCTGCCCTGTTGCCGGGCTTGATACACTGATAAAGGGTTCTTCCTGTTCTTGTTGAAGGATTAATTAACTAAACCACCACCTGCCAGCCACCCTTCCTTTCTATCCTGGTGGGCATGACTGTTCCCCTGCAAGTTCCCACTGCTGAGATCATAAATCAGGCTTTTTAAGGATAAGCAGCCCGCCCAGCTGTGAGGAGTAGAAGCTTCCAGATGTTCCAGTGCTGGGCAGCAGAGAAAGGTACACGATAGAGTCTCCTGGAAAGCTACTCTGCAAGATGGGCAATTAAGTTTCAGTGGGTTGCCAGTCTTTCCCAGGAGGCCTAGCTCTTGGATCTCGCTGCAGGCAAGGAGGCAATATTTCAAATAGAGGCTTTTTGGAGAACTTGAAGAAGCATCCTAGGTATTCTGAAGGGGCTGAGCAAATGTTAGGTCTGTTGGTTTCTTGATGCAGGTTGCCTTGAACCCAACGGTAGACAGACCAAGTTCACTGTCATGCCAGTGTCCAGAGACACAAGGACCAGGGAAGTTGGGTTAATTTAACTGTAGGTAAAATTGTGCTGCCCAACAAGGTAAAACACAGTCTTGTGTGGCTGTGGATGATCTAAGGTATTTCCTAGTTTAGGTCTGGATTGGACAATACTATGCATATAAACTAACTATATTTTGTAGACTTAGAAAACGATAGACGGGCGTTGGTGGTGCATGCCTTTAATCCCAGCACTCGGGAGGCAAAGACAGGCGGATCTCTGTGAGTTTGAAGCCAGCCTGGTCTACAGGAGTTAGTTCCAGGACAAATACCAAAGCTACAAAGAAACCCTGTCTTGGAAAACCGAGAGAGAGAGAGAGAGAGAGAGAGAGAGAGAGAGAGAGGGAGGGAGAGAGAGAGAGAGAGAGGGAGAAACGGCTGCCTTGATGATTTGTTTTTCATATTGATTACATGTTGAAATGAGATGTTAGTGTGTTCCGGCAAAGGGGAAATAAATAAATTGATACTGTGGATTTCACCTGTATATTTATTGATATTTTTAGTGTGACTGTTAGAACAAATTTAAATTACATATGTGGCATGCATTATCTTTTCACTGGATACTGACAAGCAAGTCGGATACCCACGCAAATGTCAGTTTTGCTGGCTACACCCTGCACAACCCTATCTAGCCGACCTCCTAGTTCCACATCAAATTGCCTGGGTTTGAGTCATGGCTCTGACGGTATTCAGGGGTGGTATTGGTTCAGATGTTTCCATTTCACTTGTCCACCTGCAAAGTTAGTACGGCACTAGTACCTGCTGCATAGACATAGGAAGATTAAATGGCACAGTTCAGGTAAAGTACTTAGAGTTGGGCCAGCCTGTGAGCTCCGTGGGTCTTAGCTGACACAGCTGTTTTTGTGCCGGTTGATTTAGAAGCTGAAGACACCTAGGTGGGAAGATCTAATATATGGGAACCAGACAAGGGAAGAAACAAGAAACCAATGTAGTGGCGAACGAGGTAGCTCATACTCAGAGTACTAGCTCTTGGAAGGTGGAGGCTGGAAGATTAGGAGTTCAAAACCAGCGGCAGGCACATAGTAAGTGCAGAGCTATGCGGGTCAAGAGAAACTGTCTCAAAGAATGAAACAAAACAAACAAAACTCAAAAACAGCAAAGCAATGCGGCCACTTCTCCAGGGATAATGGTTGTTAGACGGAGGAATGCTGAGCCTATCGGGCCAAGTAGGGAATTTGGATAGCATCTTCAGGGTTCATTTGGGTGGTGTCTGGCCCACTCTCCTATCGCAATGCCGTGTGCCAGGAACCTTTGATTTACTTAATAATGGCCCTGGAGTAGAACCATGGTGTTGCAATTTGGATGTGCCACAGATAGCTGGGAAGGGCTTATTTTTAGAGCAAAGGTGAAAAGACAATGGCACCCCTTGGTCTCTGAGATCTGGTGTGGTTCTTGTTGATCTCCCATCAGGCCTGATGGATGTATTTATTAGCCCTTATCACGCGGTATGAATGTAAACACAGCACGCATAGTGCTCTGCACCGTCTGAGATGTCATGTATGCACTGGGGTGTGTGTGGATCCCTCGGGGCTTGCTTGCCTGCTCCTTTCATTAAGGTTTCCTCATCTCGTTCTCCTTTTTCAGAGTTCCCGCTGCTTGCCTGTCCTGCGGACCTGCCCCAGTGTACAGAGATTCTATGGTTTGCTTCCTTGTTCCCTCTATTCTGCCAGGTCAGGATACTTTTTTTTTTGGTTGTTGTTGTTGCTCTTTTGCTTTTCAAGACAGGGTTTCTCTGTGAAGCTTTAGTTGCTCTTAGCTGTCCTGAACTTGCTCTGTAGACCAGGCCTGCCTCTGCCTTCTAAGCGCTGGGATTAAAGACAGTATGCCATCACCACCCACCACTGCCTTCTTGTGTCATTCTGATTTTTGTTTTGTAGGATCATAATCTGAAAATGTAAGAGCAAATGAGTAAATTCTTCGGTCGATGTCCTATCTTACATGTTGCTTGTTTTATCCAGGGTTGAGTCATTGGGATTTTGTTTGTTTATTTTGTTTTTCCAAGTAGTGCTTATATTTACTGCATCTTTTTTTCTTTAATCTTGTTTTTGGTAGGAACACGGGAAATGTTAAACACTTAAGGAAAAAAAAATGACTTTACGCACACTTTGTTGCATTTTGTGTTTTTGTGCGTATTTCTTGTGAGCTTGCTCACACTGATAGTGACCAGTTGCCTTGGGTTGTTCTCCTAGTGCAATGTACAGGGCTTCTGGTGTCCTTTGAATGCAATGCTATGTTGCACGAAGCCACAGCGCCTTGTGTAGCCCAGGCTGCTCGCAATCTCCTGATACCCTCCTGTTTCAGCTATTTTAGGCCTAGGATGACAAGCGTGAGCCACCAAGTCCAGCTCTGGGTTTAGACATTTTTGGAGAGTCTGCCTGAGATGAAGCTGATGACTCCTTGGAGCTGGCCACTGCTTCTAATATTCAGTATTATGAGAGTAGTTCCGGGGAGCCAGAGAAGTTTTCTATCCTAAGTCAATGGTGTTGAGTGGGAAGACCCCTGGCCCAGACCCAATGTGTCTTCAAGTGAATTTCGGAAAGCCACTTAGCTTCTGTTAGCCTTGTTTGCTCATGGGGAGGAAAGGAGGTGACACCATTTTCTTCAGGATGACTGGGCGAGGGGAAGGTGAGACCGTGCACATCTGAGTTCCGGGTTGGGTTCTACCATAAAATTCGATTTCAAATGTGTTAATAGACACAGTAGCATAGGTCATAGACGCCAAGCCAAAGAGAAAGTTAGATGTTTTTGACCCTTTCTAAAGGGTCAGTCGGTTTCCCATTAGTGTGACGAAACACCAGAAATAATCTACTTGAGAAAGAGAAACAGCTTAAAAGCTTGACAAAGTGGTGTGCACCTGTACGGGGTTGCTCCGGCAATTGAGGGAGGAGAGTCGTGTTTTTGAGGCTACCCTCAGCTGTGTAATGAGACTTTTATTTTTAAAAGAAAGACGTGGTGGGGGAGGGGTGGCTGGTATCTCAGGATTATTTCTTCAAGCCAATCCCTCCTTTCAAGGGCTTGCTGCTCCCTAACTTCTGAGTAGGCCCCGCCCACTATCTAATGGTTACCCTGCCTTGTAGTAATGCCTTCCTGGGTTGTGTGGAGCTGAGGGCCCAGGCCCTTCGGAGGGCAGGGCCACATGCAAAGAGCATACTAGTATTTCCTGCAGCTTCCCAACCTTGCTGGCGTGAAGACTAATGTCTCTTCTCCCGCTGTGCCCGCACCTAAAATGATGAGTGCTGGAGAGATGTACCCAGGTCCCCTCGGGCTGCTCCTTCTAGTGAATTGACCTGGGGCTAATTGCTTTGCTGAGACTTTGAGAAAACAAAAGCTTTCCATGGAACACACATTACTACAACTCCCAGACTCCTGGTGAGCGCATGTGTTGATCAGGATGCTGCCTGTGGCTTGCGTGGCCCAGTGCGCAGCCCTGGAGACTCTTGGTTGAGGTCGGTCACCTCCCATGGACCCAGAAGCCTCTACTTCCCCTTACTGAGTCCACCTGGGCTGCATTTTAACTTCTCAAGCTGCCTCGTGCCTGGCTTCTGGCTGGATTTTTTGATAGTTAGGAATCGTCCAACGTCAGAAGGGACCCATCCAGGCTTGTCATTAGACAGACAACAAAGTGAGGGTCCGGATGGGGAGGGACTATTTTGGAAGCTCTTACCGTTCCCATGTGTATGCAAAGGACAAGCGCGCACACACATGCACATGCACACAAATTTATACCCAAACATGCATACATACATGTACATGGCAATCTGGAAGGATGTATATGGAGGTGATTGTGATCGTGGTGGCTTGCAGTAGGAGACTTCAGAGACAGCAAGGATATTTCTGCTTTACTGTGTAACTTTGCATGTCTTTCTCCTGTTGGAAAACGTTGCCATTTGTATTTTTTTTTTAGTTTTTCAATGTGAGGAAGCATGACTTTTTTAGGGGTGTGGGGATGGGGAGTCTCACATAGCCAGCCCTATGTAGCCAAGGACGCTTCTGTCTCCACCTCCTTCATGCTGGAATAAAAGGCAGGAACCACATCCCTGGGTTTGTGCATTTCCGGGCATCAAATCAAGGGCCTAGTACATGCCAAGCAAGCCCTGTACTGCACTCCATTCCCAGACATGGGACACAAGTTTTTAGAAGTTCACCAGGTAATAAAGGATAACATCTTACTAATTCAGGCTTTTATGGAAGTCCTAAGAATTAAAAAAAAAATGTATCTATTCTAAAACTGCCTCTCTGAACCCAGGTCACCTGGCTTCTTGGTCTGAAGGCTTGGTAGCACTAATTTACACAACCTTTGACCCTTTGCTGACTGCTCATCTTCTCCCCAAAGCTGCCGGCCTACACTGCAGTCCTTTGGTATTGCTGGACGGTCTGAGTTCAGACCTCCTCCCCAGCCCGGCTCCCTTGTATGGCAATAGTGCTAAAGGAAGGTGCTCAGTATGCTCCTTTTCCTCCGTGGAACCCAGATCTGTTCCAAAAATCCAGGGCTTCTCTGCCAGCACGCCGGTGCTCAGCTGCTTCCAGAGGCCCCATGCAGTATCGGAAGCTTCTTGGAAGTATTTTCCTGTTCAATTCTGGCACCTAGCATAACCCCCCTTTTTAACCTCTGACACTGAATGTCAGGGCCCATTTGAGTTCAACCCTTGGTGGCCCTTTCAGGGACAGGAACAGAAAGCCTGAGCCCCCTACCCCCTTCCTTCCTCCTGAAGGCCTTTGATCTTCATCTTGGCACAAAACTCCATCCCTCTCCCACACCCCCAGCTCCATTGTTGCTTTTGGTAGGCCAGGCTGTTAGGGACCCGTTACTGCGCTGTGGAAGCCATCTAGTTCAATAGCGAGCAATATTTCACTGCCCAATAGCCAATTCAGGAAGCATAAATGGGTTTATGGGCTCCCTTTCCACTTCTCCATTTAACATAGAAAGACCATATTGATCCGCAGTGGGGGAAGGGATGGGGCGGTGGGTTCCACCCTTTCTTGGCCGAGACCATCCCTGTGTTGTACTGAAGGCCGTTTTGAAGCCTGCCCATTCTTTTCACGCTCAAAGAGAACCGATGCACAGCGTGGCAACGGCGTTTGAGGGGCTCTGCAAAAAGCTCAAAACAGTCTTGTCTGAGAATAACAATGGCGAAGAGAACAAGAGTAAGCAAAGGTTATGGCAGCAATCACGGACAAGAGCCACCGCTGTAAAGTGGGGTCCTCTGCCGCCTGGGCTGGGGAGCCTGGAAGCCTCTCTTTCTTCCTCCTCTTCATGGCACCAGCCTTGGTGATGGTTGTGTTTCGACTTGGCCAGAGGTCTATTTTGAAATCGAAACGAGAAAACAGACAAGCCTTGCTTTTATAATTGCATCAGAAAGCTTACGTTTATCCTCTGCGCACTGTTTTGAGAGCCCAGACAGGCCGAGTTTTTCTTTAGACAAGGGGGCATGGGGGACGGACACTTGCGCACGCGCACAGAGAGAATGACTACACTCATGTGGATAGAACTGGCAAACCAGCGATGGGGTGATGTGTCCCGCACCCTGTGTTTTACCCGCTCTCTTGTGACCAGTGTGTGATCCTTGGAAATGAAAAACAAACCGAGAAGATGGGTTGTTTATTCCTGTTAAAAATAATGGCCTACCAGATGCCGTTCCAGGATCTGCACCTCCATCAGCCGCTCAAGGCTTTTGGATCTTCTGCCCAGAATGCCGCTTTACAAGTGGAACTTGTTGGCATTGGAGCCAAGTATAATAATAATGAGTCAGGTCCGGACTACAAAGGGCCCTGTGATGAGCAGAAAGTAATTATTGCACACTGCAGATAATAAAACCTTTAATAGATACTTAGAAATAGATACATATACATACATATTTTAATGGGTGGTCTCAACAACCCAAAAAACCACATATCACCAATGCAGAATCCAGCCTCCATTGCCTGGAGGTTGTTCGGAGAGGATTGGAAGCCTGTTGGAGGAACTCCCTGGTAAGCAGTACTTCCCAGACACCTATCCCACAGGAGCTGCCAGAGGTCTTGCAAGCACGCAGGCTTCCAGGCACTACCTCTCAAGACTCTTCACTCTGCGTCTGGTCTCCTAAGAGAGTGGCTTCTCACCCGGAATAGACTTGGCTTTCTTGGAGCTAAATGAGGTCTGTATCTCAGCTCACCATTTACCAGCTTTGAGAAAGGACTAGCTCCTCTCCTGCCCCCATCTGTAACCTGAGAGCGAGAATGCTGCCTTAGCTGGGCTAGGACCTCAGCCTCTAAGGAGGTACCGTGGCGTCTTAGGGCTGCCACCTCCAATGGCCCCAGACTGCTCAGTGATGCTCAGTGCATATATTTTTCTTTTCCACAGTAGTAGACCCCACTCTAACTAATTGCATAGGGACTCTATTTTCTGAATGTGACCATAGCCTAAATTCTGTTTACATAAGGAAATTAATGGGACTGGCCTTAACTCCCCCCCCCCCCCTTATCTTTTGGTTTTTTCTAATCAGGGTTTCTCTGTGAAATAGTCCTGACTTTCCTGGAACTCACTCTGTAGACCAGGTTGGCCTCGAATTTACAGAGATCCGTTGCCTGTCTCTGCCTCCTCAGTGCTGGGATTAAAGGTGTGAGATACCACCTGCCTACTTTGCCTTGAGCTCTTAATCTTCCTACCTCAGCTTCCTGAGTTCTGAGATTA